CCCGCGGGTGCCGCCGCTCGCGCTGCCGCGGTGCCCCGCCCGTCGGCCTGAGGGGCGGAGCCTGTGAGCCAGGCGTGCCCCTGGGCGCCCGGGCGAGGGCGCGCTACTGGGGACGATAGCGCTAGGTCGGCCACGTCCTTCCACAGGGGGATCTCGGAGGAACAATTAAAATAGTCTAAAATAGTCGAAATGTCGTCCCCGGATTAGTTGTTACTATTTGGAATATTCCTCCTGTAGAGGGGCATGCCCGACCTAGCGCTACTGGAGACGATGGCGGGAGCAGCCCGGCGCCTGCCGTCGCCGGGGGCGCGCCGCCGGCAGGCGCCGCGGCGCCCGGCGAGGGCCACGTCTGGGCCGCCGGGACGGACAAGTCGCCAGCTTGGAGCGAGGGGCGCGACGACTCCACCACGGCCACCTACGAGCGCGCTCCACTACTCGCAACCCAGACCCCCTCGAGAAATGAAAAATCACGACGGGAATTTAGTTCGCCGTTTTCGGCCTCTGGAGGCCCTCCCCGGGCCTCCAGACCGTCAAAAACGACTCGGGATGAAAAACCGGTCCAGGGAAATAGGTCGAAACCTCTGGGGGTCGACGTTACGAAAAAAACAATACGTCGGGGGTCTGGGAAAGTAGCTACTCGCAAATGGCCTGGCTCCGCCGAGGGGGGGTTGTTACGACCCCTTACATCGAGGCGAGCATGTTTTTGTTCCAGGACGTTTGCGAGTAAGCACTTTGCGAGTAGTGAACGCGCCCGGTGAACCTCGGCGTACTCGTCGGGGCGCCTGGAGTGCCTGGCGCCCCTCCTCGTCGGCGGCCACTCTGCCTCCTCGGCCTCGGGGTCGTCCAGCTGCAGCTGCTCGTGGCGGTCTCCCCCCTCGTCCTGGGGGGCTCGCGGCTGGCTGCACCACCTGGCGCCCGAGCCCGAGGGGGCGGGGCCCTGGCACTGGCACCGCTGGCACTCCGCCGGCGAGGAGCTGCCTGCACCCATGCGGGGCGGACCGGCCCGCCCAGGGCCATGCGGGCCCGTCCGCCAGGTGTCGCCCTGGGCCGCTCTCCGCGGGAGGACCCGCCGCCCGTTGTCCGAGGAAGGCTGCCCGAGCCGAGGTGGCTGCGGCAGGCTCGTGCAGTGTCGACTCCGGCGTCCCCAGAGATCCAACGCATTGAAAAAACCACGACGGCAGTTTTTTTACAACTTTCGGCCCCTGGGGGCCCTTACCGGGCCTCGGGACCGTCAACAAACGACTCAGGATGAAAAACCGGTCCTGGGGAATGCGTCGAGACTTCCGGGGGCCCCGTATGGAAAAGAGCACGACGTCGGATCTCCGGGTCGGCTCCTGGCACCGCGGGGGATCCTTCCGCCGTGAACGATCGGCCGTGCCCGAAGCGCCAGACCGTGCAGCATCGACCGCTTCTGGGTCGCCAGCGGCGGTCAACGCTGAACGCCGGCGGCGGGGTCGCCGCACGTCGCCAATACACGAAGCTACTGTGTGGACGAACGAGGAGGAGGACGACGACGACGAATGGGGGAACAAGGGCGGAGGTTGAGGATGAGGTTGATCACTTTTCTCTGTGCGGGCGGAGCTGGGACTCTTGCGAGAGGTTGGCCCTCACCGCTCACCTCGGCCATGGGTATGCGCCCGCAAAGCAGACTCAATGGCAACATCGTCGCTCCAAAAACTCATGGGCGTTAACTGGTCAGCTGGAACACGACTCCTCACATAACGCTCGTGGGAACTTCCACATTCGGAGAGCTCTCCCGCTTTATCGTACAAGCGATCGAGCGTCCAACAGTGATGAACGAATTCAGAAGCTGGCCCACAACAACCCGCGAGATCGTAGCAAGAACCGTTCCACCCCGTGCTTTGCTTGCAGATGAGGTCGCCCCCATGGTGTTTGAGCCGATTGGTTGCCCACTCCTTGGGATCTCGCAGGGTCAACGCAACCCTCACGTGTGGCGCACAACTCAGCACGTCATCCAAGAAGTAATAATACGGCACGTCCGAAAGCGCAGCGACACTGGACGATGCAACCTCGGCCAGTAAGACGCGGAATTCGCGTAGGGCATTCGCCGTCTTGCACTTGGCCTGCCTCGATTTCTTCGTAACGCAATTTATCTGTCCCGAGTACCACATGAGCACACGGCTGTGGCTCCGAAAGCTACTCTTGCTCAAATCCAACCAACCCTCTGGACGTTGGCGGTTTAACGAGTTAGCTTTTCCAACCTCATTCTTCCCTCTTCGGGAACGGGTTTGCCTCTCCTCTCCCCTAACCCCCTCTGTCTAAGTCTGGAGGTGGGGGGTCGCGGGACGTTGGAGAGTCCAAGATGGCCCAAAGATGGCCTGCAGAGGGCCCCAAATAACCCAAGATGGCATCCAATACCGCGCAGGATAGCTCAAGATGGCTCAATACAGCTTCCAATATGTCTCCAATATGCGCCTTGGCTGTCCCCGCAGGCGGCTCCAAGTGGCCATGGAGCCTCCGAAGGACTCCCCCGAGAGGCCGAAATCTTCCCAAACTTATGGGACATCCATGTTTTGTCACCTTCTCGACTTTTCGATTTCAACGAGGCCCCAAGATAGCTCCAAGATCGCCCAAAAGAGCTCCAAGTGGGGCCCGAAACAGCCTCAAGGCGGTCCCAAGAGCGCCCCAAGTGGCAATTGTCCGCCCTCCGAGATGGGAAAGAGCGTGTTCTACCGCTGCTGGCGGAAAACCGGGGGGGGGGGGGGGCACTACCGGTTCGAACCCTCCCCCCCCCCCCCCTCCGGAAAACCGGGGGGGGTCACTACCGGTTCGAACCCCTACCCCCCCCCCCAGTTCATCATGAAAGGGGGGGGGGTCACTACCAGTTCGAACCCCCTTCACCCCCCCCCCTCGAACTCGAAAACCAGGGGGGGTCACTACCGGTTCGACCCCCCCCCCCTCCCCCCCTCGAAAACCGAGGGAGGGTGCGGACAGTAGTGGGGACGGTGATGGTGGGGACAGGGGTGAGGGGACAGCGGGACAGTGGTGGGGACAGTGGGACAGTGGTGAAGACGGTAGTGGTGGGGACAATGGTGAGGACAATGGTGGGAACAGTGGGACAGTGGTGGGGACGGTGGTGGTGCGGACAGTGGTGTGGGGACAGTGGGAATGTGGTGGAAACAGTAGGACAGTGGAGGGTACAGTGGTGGTGGGGACAGTGGTAAGGCGGTGGCGAGGACGGCGGTGGGACAATGGGACAAAGGTACAGTGGGGACAGTGGTGGGGACAGTGGGGACAGGTAGTGACCCCCCCCGGTTTTCGAGGGGGAGGGGGGGGGGAGGGGTTTAGGGGAGGGGGGGGGGTTTGCCGGGGGGAGGGGGGGGTCCAGCAGGGGGGGGGGGCAGATTTTCGGAGGGGGGGGGGGAACCGCGGGTTCCGGAGGAAAAAGGCGGCAGTTTTCCACAGTAACGCGGCGGTGGATCACGCTCTCTCCGAGATGGGGACCGATGTTGAGAACCCCGCCGTCTTTGATCGATGGCCTTCAAGATTGCAGATTGCCCCAAGAGACCCTCAAGCATCCCAAATGGGCCTGAGGCCCCCCCCAAAAATGGCCCAAGTAAGCTGCGTAGAGGCCCCCATATCGACAGATTCGCGAAGGCACTCATTGTTGACTCCTGGGCCTGCTCAGGCTAATCCCGATATTATGTCCGACGGCTCTGCCCCCCCCCCCCCCACCCCCACTGTCACACTGCATGGTCATAAACTTCCCCGATTGCCGCAACTCCCCTGGGCATCGTTTCTGGGTGGGCTGGCAGGGATACGCGAAGCGACAAGGATTGCAACTTTCTCTCCAATGGGCCGCAGGCAGCCCAACCTTGCAGTAATGGCGATGAATTCCATGAGTTCCTGTGGTGCCCAGCCCTGCGTTCACGAACCGCAAGGTCGATGCGGCTGGCTCGCCTGACGCGTTCGCGGTCGCCCGCTGGCAAGCAACCGTCCTCAGCGCCCTGTTCCCACTGCTGCTGCTGCCGCCAGTCCTGCCGACTTTAGGCAGTCCACTTCGCCTCGAGCGACTTCCTGGCAAAGGCACAGGCGGACTCACGGATCGGACGTGAGCCGCGCTTTCGCTGCCTGCAATACAATACGAACCAAACGCCTGGCAGAGCAGGTCCGCCGACGAATTTGCCCACACAGCAACAGAAGTTGCAATCACGAGAAAGAAAGGCAGCAAGACCACCAGACGCGATGAGTTGCAACACCGTTGGATACGTCCACATGATCCCATTCATGCACAGATGCTGAACCCGCCAGGGCTTGAGCTGCCGAGGAACCCATTGTACTGATTTCAAGCCCAAGCGGCTACGGATAAGGATGACGCTGAGACGCGGTGTGATCGTCCGCCACCTTGCCCCGAGGCACGAAGTGGAGTGCCCCCACGACCCCAGGAGGCCTCCGCATTGAACATTGCAATGCGCTATCGGGGGCCCAGAACCCAAACTGCCAGGCGCTCTCGGGCGCTCTTGGGGCTCGTCGCGTGCCCCCCCCCCCCGGGACTCCTCCCGCAGCAAGCGAGCCCCAGGCGGCCTAAGAGGGCTCCGAGTTGCTCGAAGAGCGCTCGGAGACGCCCAAGAGGGTCCGAGGACGGCCCAAGAGGCCCCAAGAGAGCCCCAAGAGCACCCCCAAGAGGGGCCCAAGAGACTAAATGATTGATGGCCTTTCGGTCTTGAAAAGATCTGAACGTTCTCATCCTTTCGGGCTCCCGACGTGTAAAGACGGCCGGCAAGGCCCCAAAGATCGCACCAACACGGCCCAGGAGGCTCCCAAAATGGCCAAAGAACGACCCAAGAGGGCACAAGAGGTTCCCAAGACGGCCACAGAGGGCCCCAAGAGGGCCCAAAGTGGGCCCCACGAGGGCCCCAAGAGAGGGGGAACTCGAACTGAATGTTTGAGCCATCCGCCCCAACATGACACCCGAGACTGCCGCTGCCAACATAATTTTCTGGAGGTCCGCGCGGATTTCTTGGATCGTCGCTGGACCCCTATTGCTGGCGCGCGGAGCGCGCAAAGGGCGGCGCGCCGCCAAGGGGGCCAGCGTCGAGCCGTGAAATCCATGCGGAGCTGAAAGAAATGATGTTTATGCCGGTTTTGTTCTTCAAGTCTTCCAAGCTCCATTGACGTTGGAATGAGTTCAACTGAGCTCCTGCAGAGAAAATCGGTCAAGAGGGGGTGACGAAACCGAAACCCATGAAACTCGGTTCCCGCACCCCTCCTGGGCTCCTGTCGCATCAGTTTTTCGAGGCGCGACCAGCCGTGGCGACGAGAAGTCCCCAGGAGTTCCAAACAAGGATGACAAAGGCTCCTCGCCCCCTTTCTGCTGGCTGGGCCGGTGCTGGGCCGCCTTGGGCCCCAAGCCGACTCCGAGCCCGGGCCAGCCCCAGCCCCCGGCAGCCTAAGCCCTGCACAGAGCCCGCACACGTCGGACGGAGAGCGACCCCGCTCGGCGACACATTCCACGTAGACGAGCAGCGTCTGGTGCCCTTCGGGGTCCAGGTGCACCGTCGCGGCAGCCTGGCGCGGGGTCCGAGACCGCCTCGCGCCGTGACACCAGAAATCGTTACAGAAGCCTCTCTGATCCCCTCGCCCTGCAAGTTGTTCGCACCGGGCATTTTCGCCCAGATTCGGTCCATTGGACACCATCACAAGTCGACGCGGCTCGACACATGGCGCAGGAAGATCAGGTCTGGGGCTCTGGTCGCGATTTTTGCGATGTCGCGTTTTTGCTGCAGCGTTGGATCCCAGGGTCAGCGGCAATGTTCTGCCTCTGGGGGCTCTCACCGGGCCCCGGGACCGTCCACAAACTGCGCGGGGTGAAAGAGCAGTCACCAGAAAGGGGTCCAGACCTCTGGGGGTCCACGACAT